CTTGATGCCAATTATTTGACCCATGACCTTTCCAAATCCAATGAATATTGAGCCTGTGAGAGTCATGAAACCCCTGAGTTTCTTTGGAGAACTCTCTCCGAGGTACATGAGGTGCACACTCAAGCCAAGACCTGTGGGGAGAGACAAGACAAGGAGAAAAGAGCTATAAAACAATCTGACCAAAAATGCCAACTATACTTTTGATTAAATGAAAAGAGTAGGTCAAATAAATGAAAACTCTTGTAATAATTGTTCCCATTATGCCTGACACTCTTTCTCATAATCAGAACATACCAACATTATATCCGTAGAGGAATCTGCCCAGCAAGATCATCTCAAAAGACTTGGCCATTCGACTGAAGAGCATGAGAATGGCAGCCACAATTGCCACTACATTGTTGAACAAGAGAGCTTTTTTCCTGCAAAAACAAAAGAAACAATAAAGATTTGTACACTGCTGACATAAGTTACCTTATGTGTTTTACCCACTTGTTGGCCAAATCTGGTCTGGTTAGCATATTCATTTAGATTTTGCACAGAGCAAACTATTACATTTTCAACTTTTGTTGCTGAAGAAGTGTGATTCTGGGAAATTGTATCGTGTATGAATAGATTCAGTGGAAGAACAATCCAGAACTTTTATTAAGACTGCCACTCAGTCACTTTAAGATGCAATTTCCTTTTTGTTTGTATGGATTGTATGTTGTACTGTGTATGGTGAGTGTTGTTTTATCTAATTTGTCAGTACCAAACACACATTTCTGAATCTAATTGTCTTATTAAACATGAACATGAATGTTGGCCAACTCTTTCTTTTGACTCTCTGAGTCAGAGAGGTTTAAAAACCAGACATTTTAGCAAATATTCTGACGATCTATCAAACCCAACAGATGTCTTTCAGATAATATAATTGTATAAAAGCGTCACTTACCTGCCGTAAGTGACGGGAATGCTGCCGCTGTGAACGGCCCCGGCCAAGGCCCCAAGACTCAACACGGCCACAATGAAGGACCAGATGAGCTGGTTGGAGGAGTCATCCACTGGAGCTCCGTACCTCCACAACCAGGTGTGGTTCACAAAACTCTGAACATGCTGCAGAAAGGTCAGAGAGGTCAGGGGACATGTTAAGGTGGTCTACTGATCAACCCTGTTTAAAAAAAAATGCAATTTACAGTAAAAGATGAGATTAAAAATACCATAATTTTTCTAATACAATTACAACACTGAGTTAACGTTTCCGTAACCACAACAACAACAAAAAGAGAAAAACGAATATAAATCTTACCACTGCTGGAGAAGCGATGACAGAAACTTGAATCCCATACTGAAACGACCCCCCAATTCCCAACACCATCGACAGCAGATAAAGTCTCCAGTACTGAAGCTAAAACGGTAAATGGAAAATCATATATACAAATTAACCTCCTCTGTTTTTTAACTCGACAACTATAACTGTATTGATTTATCAAGACATATAAATGATGTATGAAATATAATGAGTAGGTAGATTAAAATACTCAAACTTTATTTAAAATGTTAAGGTCACTTTCACCTTGACCAACTAGTGTCTTATGCGATATGTAAATGAACACTAAGAGAGATCAAATGTACTCTTTCATGATTGATTTACTGTTGATAATTCAAGTAAATGTTTGCTTAGTACTAGGTAAAATATTAGGACTTTTACTATTATTTTGCCTACTTTTACTTTATTAAAGAATCTGAATGCTTCATTCATGTAAGTGCACACTATGTATTGCTATATACATTATTGTAATGAATGATATATAATTAAAAAAAAACAAATTAAATTGCATGTATTTAGTAATACTGTGGATTACAGGCAAAGAGAATCTTATTTCACAAACAACGCTGAAATCTAAGAAAATGCACCTACCTTTCCTGATGCATCTTCCATCTTTAATGCTGGCTCCCTGGTTGTTGGCTATAGGACAGAGCATGAGAGGACCAGCTGGTTTATATACAGTATGACAGTCAAGTTACACATAAACTCTGGTTGTCCATTCAGGATGTTAGATCAACATTGTCTTGTTCATGACGTGCGCGATAGGGATGAGCAGACGCTGAACTAGATCCTCCTGGCATGTCTGGTTGATTGTTATAAGAAATATTTTCTCGAAAGTTTAGGCTTTAGTGGGAGGGGATTTTGTTGGAGGACAGAAGTCCAAGTCTGGGCCAGATTATAGGTGTGGGTCTATATAATAAATCCTGACCTCTGCACCAAGATTAATTCCTTCAACTCAGTTAAGCAGCAATTGATGTCATCACACACATTTCTTTGACGTCCTTATCTCTGATTTATAAAACAACTTAATTTCTCTTCTAAATGCATGCTAGAACACAATTATCTCCTTTAAAATAAGAAATAATACTCTTGTTAAAGAAGGCCCTATTGTGCTTTTGGGGGTTTTCCCTTTATGGTGAGTGTGCGAAAAAGCACACGTTCGATCGTCCTGGACGTGTTATTTACAATATCGGACAAGTACATATTTCCATTGACTTGTCCGACGGACAAGTGACGTTTTTCGCCCATATTTATTGACAAATTATTGATAAATTCAGCTTACAAACGGCAGAACTCATTCGCAAATTGTCCGTGTCCCACTGTCCCCGCGGACCGCAGCTCACTCTCTCTATGCTCCGGATCAGCTGATCGGTGAAGCTCAGCGTCTCTCTCTCGCTCTCTCTCTCTCTCTCTCTCTCTCTCTCTCTCTTTCTACTCACAGCCGATCCGCTGCCCGTTTAACAGCCTCATCTTTGTCAAACTTTCTTATGTTCTTTCTCTAACACGTAATGAAGGTTATTAAGCGTTTTAGCTCCTATGTTGTTAATATTGACCGCCATTTCCTTTATGAAGTAAATCAGCCTCCCTGACTGTGTCCTCGCACTGTCCTCACAACCCCGGACCCCCAGACTCGGAGGAGCACAGGGATGTCAGTATTGTTTATTTATTGTTTTAAATTGAAGTTGTCTGAAGTCCTTACCACCAGCTGCTCTTGCAGTAATAAGTACTGAACAAATGTGCACAATGTAGTGACTGCTTTTTCGTCTTTTGTTTTTCGTCTTTAGTTATGTTCTCTGTATTTTACATGTTTGTGTTATGTGTTATGCTAACGTTGCTGCCTTCTTGGCCAGGTCAGCATTGTAAATTAGATTTTATCTCAATGCTTTTTTATCTGGTTAAATAAAGGTTAAATAAATAAAATAAATTATGAAGCAGGGTATAGAAAGTACATTATTGAAATGAAAATACTATTTATTTACTTTTACAATGTGAGCAGCTGGGCAGCTGTAGCATGTGTATTGCAGGACATGTGTTGGACAGACTGTATGGTTGGACCTTTATATATACAGTCTATGGGTTGGACTCTGTCTCACAGGCAGGATGCAGTGTAACATCAAAGGAGACTGGGCCAGTTGAACATTCTCAAACTGCACCACTTAGAACTAACTAAACAATGCAGAGATTATTTGTATATAATTGTATTAAATAACCGTAACAACATTAAACAGTATGAAGTGATTTGTAAATAGGAATACAGATTTGACTTAATGTTTTCATATATATATTTTTCTCCCAGTGAAATTGGCATGGGACTTATTTTTACCCTAAAGAACCGGAATCAAGAACCGAAAAGAACCGGAATCGTTAAAATCCAAACGATACCCAACGATGGATGTATAATAAGAACCCAACCCTATGTGTGATGCTGTAAAATCTTACTGCTCACTTACGTTAGCGGTGTCGTAAAACCGTGGGAAAATGTAAAATACGATGGCGAAGAAGAAGATTCCAGTGGCCCCAATTTTTCACTTGTCCAGATTGGACAAGTGAAAAATGTATTCGGACAAGTAAATGGACAAGTACTCTCTAAAAACGTGTTCTTACACTGTGTGTTATATAGGCTTTTGTGCATGTAAATTGTCTGCAAAGGCAAAAATCACAAAGTGCAGTGCTCCAACACAGTGTACATGATAGGCTAAGGGGTGGGACATCTCTAAGTGGTTGACCAATCACAACAGAGCCGGACAGCTAACCAATCAGAGCAGACTGGGCTCTGTTTCAGACAGAGGGTGAAAAGAGGTGCTGCAGCACAGGTGCAAATAAAGGACGTTCTGAACATTAAATCATGTAAACATGTCATTGTAAAGGCACAAAATAAAAATATGAACCTGAAAATGACCACAATATGTCCTCTTTAAACTGAATTTAATGATTCCAAGCGAGTCTTTAAAGAAAGCTATTAACTGTGTCTTAAAAAGTATTAAGCACAAATCTAATGATGTTTTGTTTTCCATTTCCCAGCGCGTCACAGTTTCGCCGCTGAGAGAGTGTGTGTGTGTGTGAGGAGCTCCATGGATTGGTCCATTTGGACCAATTGGTCCATTGGGTCGTCGTTACATCACTTGGTTCCCGGAAGAAAAAAATGGCGTTCTGGGGCAGCATAGACAGGTCTTTTCTGTGTTAGAGTTTTACTCGCTACAGGGTGTACTTTGAGGGTTTGTGACTTTGCAGACCGTTTACATGCAGAAAAAGCTACATAACACACTAGGGGACGGGTAATAACCGGAAAAGCATGACATGGGACCTTTAATACAAGACTTTAATTGGCTCAGGGTTAGATCATGAAAACAAAAATGTCGACATTCAACATAAACTATTGCACATATTTTAGTCATGTAAATACAGTAGATATCAGTACAAACTAAATGCATGAACGCTTTACATTATTACATTGTTTTTTTGAATGAGGTACACTGATGCATTCAGTTTATAATAAAAATGTTGAACTTAACTCTTTATTCTTATTTTAAGAGATTTATTTTGTTCTAGATGTATGTGCTACTTTATTTAGCTAGAAGGCCTGATGTGCAACTCAGTCTGACCTTTGACCCATGAAAAGAGAAAAAAAGGTCTGCCATGGTTGTTTATAACTCTAAATATATTGGTGTTTATTAGTTAAAAAACAAGAAACAACTAAAGAAAAGGCTTTATTTGTTAACTAAAAACAAGTGTTTTGTCTTCAGAAAGAGCAGATGACTTATATTCTGTGGATATACAGTGATTTTAATTACAATAAACAATAAAGAGATCAAAGAGCAGCACAGGATACTAGGATAGACACTATCTAGTCTTATTGATTTAGATGTAATAGATAGATGGTGTCTATCCTAGTTTTCAAGTACTGCTTTGTATGCAGTGTCTTCGTGTTCAGTGGTTTTTGAGTAGCTTTTTTAATGTCATCAAACAGTGACGAAAATGAGTGAACCATGTGAAGATATCATAGAAGCATCCATAGGAATAGAACATACATTCAAGATAAAGGAGTAATAATTGCTCCAAGTTGTTTGTGGGGATGTGATAGTTCAGACATTCATGTGTTCTCCCAGCTCAAGCAGCTCGAGTCTCACAGTGGGCCATTTGTGTTTGATTTTCAGCAGTCAGTCTACAAGGCCGTTGAGAGACACACTTCACCCAACTGATACTGAGTCGTAGTTTGCGACAAACACTTTTCGTCCTGGCCTTTGAAGTTGAGCTTGTGAAATTCACTTGTGATGGCTGACAGAGACTTCCCCTTCGTCTCAGGCAGGATGAGGCCGACAAACAGCGCAGACAGCAGGCAGACGGCTCCGAAAGGCACAAAGCAGAACTCGCTCAACTCACTCTGTAAAAGAAAGTAACAGAGAGCCATCAGACTGATGTGAAGATATATAAATGACTACTGAAATGTCTGATGATGTGCTACAATTTGAAACAAGTTTGCCTGTTCTTTTGTTGTTTATGTACACAATTACAAAACATTATATTATTGGGAATGTTTGAACTAAAAGCTTAACTTCAAATTCCATATCAAGAAAGATCAGTAGGGGATAAAGCCTCAGTTTTAGACTATGAACTTTGGGTGGCACTATAAGATGCCTTTTGTTATTTATAAGAAGTTAATCATTGGGCATTTTACCCTGCTTGTAGTCTTAAGTCACTTAATCAGTAGATAAATCACCCCCCCCCCCATCTCAAGAAAGGCGATTAAAGAGGTTATGTTTCATTTAACACTATAATAAATAGATTAACCATAAACCCTTTTTTTCTTTAAGCATTTTTGCTTGTTATTTTATATGGAAGTTATAATTACATTTGGTCTGACAATGACAATATTACAAAATGATATTAAAAAAAGTTAAAAACAACAATGAAGCATTCAATTTAAAGGAAACAACCAAGAAAAAATTCACCAAAAAAGGACTAGACTGAAAGTACAGCATACAATATCTTAATAATCTTTCACTACTAGGTTTTATGTGTTTACCACCTTATTTGCTCATTTTAATTTAATAATTTTTTTATTTGTTAATTGACCTACACACTCATCGTCTATCACATTCCAGCAGTAAACTCCTTTGGCAGATATTGTTTATGTAAATATATTAGAGTTTAAACATGTTTAAAATAATGCTTTAATTTTCTCTTTTGATACTTTTTAATTTCCTCAACATGTGCATATGTATTCATTGTCTTTACATGTGATGTGGATGTGAAGTGACAGACTGACCATTAGAAAGGGAAAGATCATCCCCATGATGAAGAGGTTGAGCCACATCATGGAGCCCGCGATCATGTAGGCGGCCGGCCGAGCCGTCTGATCGAAGAGCTCCGTCGGCAGAATGCCAGTCACTCCAGCTAAGGAAAAACAAAAACATATAGAACAGAGCTTCATACCACCTCTATATTATTAACAGTATAAATATAATCTGTCTTTTATAGCCTGACCCGTACTGGTTTTTGATAATGCATAATAGTGATAAGTTGCTTCATTACAGTAGAACTCGAAATTGTCATTAAAGAAAAAATGTGTATTCCAAACATAATACGGACATTTCTTATATAGTATTAGTAGTTAATTTATTCATCTGGAAGGCTGTGATTATTTTAATTTCATAAATGCATCTTGATGTGAAATTGTATTTATTTATTTGTTTATTCCACACATGGCAGTTATTTTAAAACAAAACATGTACAACTTTACAAAACATGTACACTTTCTTTTTATAGCGCATGATGGAAAGGAGCAGGGAGAAGAAAATCTTATTTTACCTACGCCTTCTTACAACAAAATAACAACAAAAAGAAAATGAAATAACCATTAAAAAGTCAAATAAAAGCAATATTCTTTCAGTCGCTTACAAATACTGAAACATAAAACCCGAAGACAATCAAAAGTCAACTTCATACTTTCTAATTGTGTTTGTATGTTTTAGATTTTACCATAGTATATAAAAAAAGGCTTCAAACAGACCTGGTCCCATGCCAAAGCTGAGGATGTATGTGAATATGCAGGCCATGCTCAGGTACGGCATCCAGGATGTATAGTGCTGTTTGCATGTGTACAGAAAAGAGAAAAATAAACAGTGAGCCTCTCAGAAGCAGGTAGAAAAGAAACCAGATCCGTTTCAAATTTCATAAATTAATGATAGACTTGTGATGCTCAGTTCACTGCCGAAACCTCATATAATAATCACAACTATGAATTAACATTGGACTAGTATAACATATAGGTTATATGTGGGTAGGTTAAGTGATGTTAAATACCTCAAATGACAGAGCAATTGTGAAGACCACAGCCCAGATGGTCATGAGGATGTAACCTCCCATCAGCATGAACCTCCGACCTTTACGCTCAATCAGCAGGTTCTGAAAAACATCAAAGAATGGACATCAGACTCTGCCCTTCACATACAAAATAAATCATATTTAAGATTTTAAAACACTAAAAAACACTTTTGGAAGAACATACATAACATTCATCTGTTTGCAACTCATATATCAATATTCCAATTACTGTATATAGACTATTCTGCACTGTTTCTATTATATTCTATTTTATTTTATTTACTTGCACTATTTTATCTGTGTTATTGTGTTGCACTGTTGGAGGAGCCTGTGACCAGAGATGTTCATCGTCATAAATACACTCAAGTTATGTACGAATGACAATAAAAGCCTTCAATCTTGAAAAAAAAATCATACTCTAATAAATATATAATACTAACATATGGCAAACATTGTCTGAATATTAGAATACATATTTGTTTCTTGCTTGTGTAATTTATGAAAGTATGGTAACTTTTGCAGGAAAAACATAGAAGATGCTTGTCAGTTTTTATGTAATTCTGGTACAAATCATTAGTCACTAGACACTGCTTTTATTTATTGAACGAGTAGTATATATATATATATATATACCAGTGGTACCACAGGTTGAGAACTACTGGTTATATATATATATATATATATATAACCAGTGGTTCTCAACCTGTGGTACCACTGGTGGTACGCCAGCTCCCGCTAGTGGTACGAGGGGGAATATATATATATATTTTTTAAATTTGTATTTAACCTTTATTTAACCAGATGAAAACATTGAGACAAAATCTCATTTACAATGCTGACCTGGCCAAGAAGGCAGCAACTTTACACGTTCTTACACATAACACAGACATGAAAAATACAGAAAACATAACTAAGTAAAGAAAAAGGTAAGAAAGGTACACTAATTAATACTGCAAGAGCAGCTGGTGGTAAGGACCTCAGACGACTTCAATTTAAAACAGGCTATGGACAAGTGCCATCAGTTTGAGGCTTGATTGAATAACATTAATTACAAAATAAAATCATACTATCAAAATACTACAACGAATGAAAATAAGCTTGAGATAATTGAAACTGTGGTTTAAATAAGTTCTAATGGGCTATTGTTGTTTGTAGATTTAGAAACACATTTTTTTTTTTTTAAATGTATTTCTGGCGTTGCTAATGAGTCATGACGACCATATATACCGCGAACGATTAGCGAACGTTGCAAGCAAGCTAAATAAAGAAGAAAGCTGAATGATGTTAAAAACGTGGCTCAAAACGGGAGGTATTCGGAAGAGAGAAGAATATTACCAGCTAGTGAACATGTGAATGAGGAGGAGGACAGTCATCAACCGAGCACAAGCGCAGGCTCCGCCAGCAACGCAAAAGTGATATGCACAGCCACAACGCTGTGATGGAGGAGAGAAGTGACTCAGGAAGAAGGCATTTGCTCAAAGAATGCAGAGAAGGCTGTGACCGAGGTCAAAAGCTGAAAAAGCACACACTTGTCCTTAATTGTTATCTTTTTCCTTTTCTTTTTTACTTTGCCACCACAGAAATGGCAATAGCAAACATCAGCAGACTGAAGATGAACTATTTGCCCTTACGGCCAGCACACACCGGGCAAAAATAAATCACTCTGATTGGCTGTTCAGCTTAGCGAATCAGTGCATGAGAAGCGAAACGGAAGTGAGGGACCCAAACAAACGATTAAGAAGGCAAATCTGAGATTTAATTTAACTCCAGCTCTCGACACAGGTTCGGGAAAGCCCCATGAGCTTCTCGCTGTAGAGTGAAAATGGAACGCACACACTATGGTGTATCACGCAGTCTGTCTTCCGGTTGTTACCTCTTTTGAATGACGAATACACACTACCGCCGCCTGCTGGTAAGGAGAGTTATTGCCACTCACGCATGCGCAGTGCGTACGTGCTACTTGGCCGTCGGCTGAAGTCTTTGCGGTGTGTTCCAGTGCGACTGTTGGCCAAGACACAGGAGACGTGAGGCGACACAACAATCGGGTCCGTCGGGACGTGTTCTTTGGTGTCAGTTTGGTGTGTCTGGGCCTTTAGGCTCATCTGCTCCTGGAGGCTTTCATTATTATACTACTCTGTCCCCCCCCCTCCCAGTGAGCTGTGGTGTTCCACAAGGAAGCATATTAGGTCTGTTACTGTTCCTAATTTATGCAAATGACATGTCATCAGCATGTGACTGCAACTTGTTCCTGTTCGCGGACGACTCAGCCCTGCTGGTCTCTGACAGGAGCAGATTGCAGGTTGAAAAAACCCTCAGCTCCGAGCTCGGCAGAATCTGCACCTGGCTCGCCGATAATAAATTATCATTACACCTGGGTAAAACAGAGTCCATTCTCTTCGGTTCGAAACATAATCTCAGCAAATCCGACGACTTCTCAGTTGCAGTGGGTGACATTATTGTCACAAGTAAGAAGGAAATTACATACCTAGGATCTATTCTTGAGGCAAACCTCTCCTGTGACAAAATGGCATCCAATGTAATAAAAAAAGTCAATCAAAGAACTAGATTCCTATACCGGATCTCCTCTCTGGTAAACAAAAACACCCTGAAAACTCTGGCAGGAGCACTCATTCAAGGGTACTATGACTATGCTTGCACGTCATGGTACCATAGCACCTCCAAGGCGCTAAAATAAAACTTCAAACATCGCAAAATAAACTGGTCAGACTACTGCTTGACCTTTCATCTAGAACCCACCTCACCTCTGCCCACTTTGACAACCTAGGATGGCTTAGAGTAGACGACAGAGTACAGCTACTTGCAATGGGCCTGGTCTACAAGATCCACTACACCTCTATGGTACCCATGTACATGTCAAAATTCTTCCCAAAGGTCAAGGAATACCATGATCATAACACCAGAGGGAGCTCCACAAATCATGTAAAACCCAGATTTGGCACAAAAAAAGGGGAATACACGTTTCGCAATTATGCCACATCAAGGTGGAACGCTCTTCCCACAACTGTAAAGGAAAGTAAAACTATACTTACCTTCAAAACCTCTCTTAAAGAGCACCTTCGGGGGAAAGCATTGCAAAACTGGCCCCGGTAATGGTACAAATCTCAACCTGTCGTACAATGGACAGCTTCCCCCCCCCCATCTATGTATATACTCGCATTTTAGACTCTGTTACTAACTGTATATCTGTAGACTTGGTATGTCTTAAATGTCCGGTTAGGATGTATTAGAACGAAATCTAAAATGAAAATTGTAAATAAGCCATCTGTATGTAAAAAACCACCTGTATGTAAATTGTAAATAAGCCATCTGTATGTCAAATATGTCTTATATGTCTTAAATGATATGATGAATTGGAAATGGGGGACCCTGATGTAAACAAGACGAAAGTCTTTCTCTGGTCTGCATCCCCTTAACAATTGTATGTTTTGAGCTGTACTGTACTGTACCCAATATACAAGCTGTTAATAAACTTTTCAATCAATCAATCAATCAATCAATTGTGGAACTGAATTCCCAAGAGGACATTTTCTGTTACAATGCAGGTTGTTGCAGGAGGCCTACATTCAAACTTTGGTATAGGAAATTACATGTATGTACAGTTGTCATTTGTTGTGTGAGAACAAGTTATTATTTTGTTCTTTATATTCTCACTTGTGGTGTGTGTGTGAGTGAGTGAGAGAGAGAGAGACTGCCCTTGTACATGTAGCTGTGGCTGACAATAAATAATGTTATTATGAATACATTTGCCTCAGAGTCCTGCATGAACTGTGCATAGACTGTATTTTAACATTGGTCATATGGTGGTACTTGGAGAGCCAACTATTTTCTCAGGTGTTACTTGGTGTAAAAAGGTTGAGAACCACTGTATTAGACAATATGCTTTCTTGCATAGAGTTGGATTAAAAGATTGACTCCAGTCTCAAGTCTCGGCAGTAAATATGTAGCTTGAGCATCCGGCTAAAATAAAAATGACAAACAGGGAAACAGTGATTCTGTCTAGGGTAACACATTTGGCTTTTTGACACATTACTGTAATAAATGATTTATGTTTTGTACTAATAAACTAAATCTGCAAAGTATTTGAAACTGTCAATATGTAGCTTGAGCATCCGGCTAAAATAAAAATGACAAACAGGGAAACAGTGACTCTGTCTAAGGGTAACACATTTGGCTTTTTGACACATTACTGTAATAAATGATTTATGTTTTGTACTAATAAACTAAATCTGCAAAGTATTTGAAACTGTCAGAAAAATGTAGTGGAGCACAAGAAAATGTAAAAAGCCCTTTAATAAAATTCTCCATGGTCTATTTAATTATATCCACTACTTTTTTTCTATTCTCTACTTAGTTTAAGATCCTAATATTTCATAATTCCTTGGTACTGTAGCTAATCTAGGAATTACTACTAAAAAAGCCAAACATCATATGTGTAAGTGTGGTCAACTGTTAAATAATATGTAAAGCCTGTTGTTGTCACAGTACGCTACATGGGGCTGTTCTTAGTCCTTAGTCAGCATTAAAGCTTTAAGAGTAAACAAAAGTCTCTGGTTGCCTTTGGCGACTTATATAACCTGTTCTTGTTACTGATACTTACACACAATATACATGCTGTGAATTCACATGCACCAGTGCCAATAGTGATATATTGGATTTTATCAGCAGATACTCCAGCCTCTTTAAAAACATATGATGCATAGAAGTAAATCTGAAAGAGAAAGAACATGAGAAAATGTAAGAGTGCTGCAGAGCTTCACTACAACTGCTTCAACTGTTACAGTAATAAGCGGATTAAGCCAGCATTTTGTAAAATTACTAACTATGTTAATACCCTGTCTGCTCCATAGAACTGTTAAGCATGTGGTTAAAAGCTTTAAAACAAAGCAGTACTTGCTCAGCATTTTCTGATGAGAACAGACTTGTAGCTGCTCTGTAGGGTTAGACATTTCATCAAGACAAGACAAAGCCTTATAGTCATAACAATAATTGATCTTCCCACATTATTCAGTGCACATTAAAGCTTCATCATCAACATACATTATTAATACAACCTGCGGGAACACAAAGAGACACACAAGTCATCTCAAATTTCTAGTCAACCTTCAACAGAGAACCTCTGATACCTACTAACTGCAGCTCGGTATCGATTACACAGATCCTTGTGTGTTGTATGTTAATATTTTCTGCACACACCCACCCTCGCGTTCAGAAACACACAACTTTTGTCCTTCTTACCGAGTCGTTCCCACAGAGCTGCATGGCACTGCTGATGACCATGACAGTGATGAGCTGCCAGCGCACTGAGCGATCAGTAAGCAGCTCCCAGGGTCCACGGGGCTTCATACCTTTGGTCGCAGCTTGTTCCTGCAGGATCTCGTCGAGCTCGCTGCTCTGGACCTCGCAGCCTCGCAGCCGTCTCAAAGCTAACCAAGAAAAGAAAAAAAATTAAACGACCTGAAAATGTTTTCTTCTGGTATTCTCTGGCTCTGGCTTTATTCTATGGCTCTGAAATATTATCCTGTGTGTATAAGATATTTCATATTGTTTATTGTGCTGGGTTCACAGCAGTGGCGGAAAAGCACTAAAAGGTCTCCTATTATACTATCTTTAGGCCTCTATAGGTCTCAGATATATAAAAATATTTAAAAAACACGTCTATGAAGTGTTTTGCTCAAAATACCAAACAGATCACCCATTCTAGCCATGCCTCATATCCCTCTATTTCAGCCCTGTTACTAAAGTGCTGATTCTGGGTCAGTAGATTTAAAAAAAAAAAGAAAAAAGAAGAGAGTAGAGCTCATGCAGGAGAATTCTACAGCAAGGATTATTTCTGAAACAGTATGAAGCTCAAATGCTTTTTCTCTCGCAGGTTTGCCACAAAGTGAGTACCTTTTTATATCCAGTTTTTTTTACACATACTCTCTCCAGTACAGCGTTAGCTCTGAGTGTTAGCGATGCTTGCTAATGTAAACACAGACCATACAACTTCCAAAACACGTTGCGCATTGTTTCTGATACAGCGACGTTTCTGATAGGGCCGTGGGCGTAAAGCCAGCTCACATTTCCGATATTACGTCATATCGGCAGGAAATCTGGATCAGCTCCGTTGCACCCCCATTTTTAGAGATGTGGGTAAGGAGGAAAAGAGAGAGGGTTGTATTTTCGGACACTTTGTGAGTCTCCTGACACACCAAGGACATATATTTATGTGTAAAAGACATCAAAAAGTGCATTTTGCATGATAGGGGACCTTTAACTGAAGGTACTAGTGCAGTTTCAGTTTGGGATGTGCTAAGATACTGTCTCTTGGGTTACACAAATACTATTCAACTATGTTGTTCAGGGAGCCTTTTCTTAGAAAGCTATCCCAAATGACATAGCACCGTACCCACCGTTAATACAAGCCTCTTTGTCCCCCCTGTCGATGAGTAGGTATCTGGGACTCTCAGGGAACCAGGGCAGGGTAAGGAGCTGGATGACGCCAGGAATGACATTACTGGCAAGAAGATACTGCCAACATGGCTCGCTGCCCAGAATCTCTCTGTAAATAAATAATCCAGAGTCTTACTGTGGATATCTTTGACATTTTTGAATAAAGGATGAGCCTGTTTTGAAAAGAAATTGGGCAATGTGCATACCTGATTCCAACCACCTGTCCTAATACAACACCAAATGCTGTGAAAACAGCTGATGACAAAGAGACAGCCCCTCTTAAGTGCTTTGGTGCACTTTCTCCAAAATACATGGGTTGCACATTCATGCTGATCCCTGCAAAACACACAGGGGCTTTTTTAGTTAATGTAAAGTTATTTAGAGTTAATTTAATGAAAACATATACACATTCACTGGCACTGACACACACTAATGACATACCAGCATTTATTCCTACCAAGACACGTGCGATAATGATCATCTCAAAGGACTTGGCAGCTCTGCTTGTCACAGCTAGGAGTGCTCCAGTCATGAGGAAAATGTTGTTCAGCAACAGACATTTCTTCCTTGGGAAGGGAAACAAGGACAAAATTAATAGACCACCACTGTTGATGGTCAACCAATTTCAGTCTTAGAAACACACACTCGTGAACTTTCTGTTTGGTCACAGGGATAAGTAGAGTTGTATTATGGAAATCATTAAAATAATACTAAAACCACCAATGACCATGTCCTTTTAATATTTTCTGTGCAGTGAACACCTCGTACAGATGATTCCCATGTGCCTTAGAGTTCCTTTATTGTAGAAAAACTGAATTGACACTGTGTTGCCTGTTTTGTTTATTCATTACAATGACCATGGGCCATGTAGTTTATGTATGGCCAATCCTTCTGCTATAAGATCTCACGAGAGCATCAAATGTGTCTTCATCCGCATTCCAAAATAGTGCCCTACTCCTGTTTGAAAAGCATTTGCTAAAAACTACAGAGTGCATCTAATGTAGGAAATGATTTAGCCTTTTTAAAAATTAAAGTTCATATGTATGCACACAGGTGATAGAGGAAAGTAAGTCAATGATCTCTTTATTCATTGATACAGCCAGACAATAAAATACAGCAGCTTGATGCGTCATCTTATTTTACCTCCCGAAGCGTATGGTCAAAGGTCCTGCGATGAGGGCCCCTGCAAAGCCCCCCAACGAGAAGATGGAGACAATGATTGTCCAGACCAGAGTCACCTGGTAGTCCTCCAGCTGCATGTCCCAGCGCTCCAGGAATGTCTCATTGACAAAGGTTTGAATAAACTGGGAGAAATAACATCACAATCAGCCAAGTATTTTTCAGTTCGCAAAACCAAGGCATGTTAGCAAAGCAGCGGTTATTGCTGACACTTATTACCTCAGTTTATCTGTCTGTCCAATGTTTGCCGCTCAAATGTATCTTAAACAAGATCCTACTTCCAGAATAAGTTTCTACCCAACAATAAATGTTGATGTGAGAACGACTTATCAAAGACACAATAAGCCCAATGTTTGTTACTTATCTGCATAGATCTACATGGAGAGCTCACTACACAGACATAAGTAAGTATATATTTACCACAGTGTTAATGTAAACACTGGGAGACTTATTAACACTTTCTAAACCCTCCAGCACCTCATTAGCTTTGCATAGAAGTCAATATACCTATACAGGCTAAATCAGACACACACACACACACACACACACACACACACACACACACACACACACACACACACACACACACACACACACACACACACACACACACACACACACACACACACACACACACACACACACACACACACACACATACGCAATGCAATTTTGCAGTTAGACTAAATAACTTACAACTGCTGGAGTATTCATTATAGCGAGGTTGTAACCATATTGAAGAGTTCCTCCACTGGCTGCAGAAGCAACCATTAGCACCAGTGTCAGAGAACTGCTCTGTTCATACAAACATATACATATATTAGATGACACACATGTATTAATACTTAGCTAATACTTATAAAGTAGCTCACAAAGGGACATATACAAAGATACAAATTATGTAAACGATAATACAAAAAGACAGAATGTTTTTTATTTGATAAATGTAGTCACATTTTGTTGTTATTTTGCAGGGTCACCAGAGGTGCAAGAATTAAGCTACCCTAATCTTTAACTTAAGTAAAAGTAGCAGTACTGATGTGTAAAAGTAGTCAGTAACATAATATGATTGGATTATAGTGATAAATGTGTCCATCAATTTAGTTAAGCATTTCAACTACTGTACTGTATAGTGCTGGGTAGTTTAGCCTATAATAGTACGTTATTAGCTGGTACTCTTACTAACCCTAAACCACCAAAGTAACTGAAGCTGTCAGATGGATGTAGTGGAGTACAAAGTACAACATTTGCCTTCGAGATATAGTGGAGTAGCAGTATGAAGTAGCATCAAATGAAAATATTTAAGTAAAGTACAAGTATGTAATCAAAATTACAGGACTTGAGAAAATATAGTTAATTTCCACCACTGAGGGTGATAGTTGTTTCAAATAGCACAGCAACTGGTAAGATTTACTCAACCGCCAAGTTATTCCGTTTTTTCTGCAGGAAAGTCTAGCATAATGACCTCCCAGTCAACAAATCCTAGAAGAAGGGGAATGAACTCTAATTTAAAATCCGCATCGGAAATATATAATGTGCTTATTTACCTTCTGTGCACCAGCTGGCGACATGTTTGACGAAGTGAAAACGGTTTTTTAAAAAGTAACTTGATGTCAGAGTCAAAGTCAAATACAAAACCACACAGCTCAGCCCACCTCGGATACAGCTCGTGCACTCGCTTAGAGCGTGCGTATGGCGAACTCTGATGATTGGCTGCAGAAATCAACCAGTTGACGCATATTAGGTGACCAGGTGGTTAGCATACTGCATCTTCTTTATACTCTCCACAGGATCCCACATTGATTGATTTCGGTGGGAACAGTGTGACAATAATGAATCTCACTGACGTCTTCAGGTTACTCAGTTCTTGTCACTATCCAGGAGCAGGGAGGTGCATGCTGACACGTGGGGTTTCATTTCATAAATATATCGATGCATAAAGTATGTAAATACATAAATCGCTAGCACACATTACGGGTTACAGGCAGGTTTTAATGCATTATTTCACCCCTCAATTAACATTGGTGTATATTTCATGAAAAAAACTGTTGTGCAATTTCAGACTTTAATGCAAAAACAATTGATTTCACAACTATTCAATTTCAAATACTACGTTTTACAATTTAGCACAAGTTTTACCTTTTTATAATAAGAAATATTAATAAAGAATACACTTATTGCACTATATATAATTAAGAGTCACAATAGACATTACATGCCCTATTGACCCCTCAGCAAACACTAGATGCCCCAAGGTTTTTATATTTTTTTAAGGAATAGGCACAGTTAAAAAGTAAACATCTTAAATCGAGATTTGGACACAGGACCACAACATTAGATAGTGATGCAGGACTTGCCTTTATTAATATGTACTTAAGTGGCAAACATATTTTAACTTATTCAATGACATGCAGTGATCCTGGATATACTCACTTGCACCTCTGTGGGGGTTTATACATGAACTGGATTGGTGTAATAATGTCCTAACTATTGTTCTGGACAAAATATTGTGTAAGATAGATCTTTAAAAAAAAAAAAAAAGATTTAAGGAAACCTGTGCTTGGTAATGTCCAGCAGATGGAGCTAGTTTAAAATGTTCACTCTTGTTTGATTTTTTTTCAGGTTGTGAATCTCAACAACAGAAATGTAATCTATAGAACAACACACCAAACTGCATTGGCAATTGCTTGATTACAATTAAAACAATTAAAGTAAGTGTCCTCATCAATTTAATTTGAATTTTAAACTTTAAAACCATCTCGATTCACCAAGGGAGATGTTGCTGCATCACATAACTGTAAAGAGGATGTTTTAGCTTCAAGGCCACAGATAAAAAAGGTAAAGAAGACAATACACTCTGTTGGATTTTGAGAACAATGGTGAATAGAGTGATCTACCTCTATTATTGAAAGCCAGTGTTAGAAGACACGCTGTGCACAGTTTGGAAATATAAATAATTCCCTGCTGCACTTTCCTGGAAAGTCTTTCGGCTTTCATGAACCATGAGACTTAGTGGCACTATTAAGTTTACAAAAGGTAAGAGAATCACCAACGCATACTACAAATTATGAATATCAGACCAAGTTTCATGGAAATTTGGTGAATGAACAGACAGACCAGCTATGCTTTTCTTATGCTTCACAGCTTTAAATGAAGAAAATAAATAAAATAAAATAATTATATATATATATATATATATATATAGCCAGTTGATTAATGAGACTTCTATATCTGCAAGCTTTTTGTATTTGAAATATATATATTTATAACAAAAAAACGGTGTGTTGCACATTGCACTATGTCAAATGCTGCAAATGGATTTAAAAATACCAAGAATAACTCTAAGATAAATACTTTGATTATATAAAATATCCCTTAAATGTAATGATTTAAATAATCAGATATAGGCTTAAATGCACTTAATAAATACAAGTGTAATATTAAGGTCAAATTGAGAGGACACCCCTCCCTCGCTGCCTCTAATTGGTCAGCCTCTGACAGGATTACACTAGTTTCCTCAATTGAACACAGAGAAGTTAAACGCTCGGACATCCTGCTGGAGACTCTCTTGCTTTTGGCTGAATTAACAAGAAAAAACTCAGTTACTTTTCTACGACCGTGGTTCAGATGTGTGTAATTGACATTTGTCGACACATCCGCGCAGTGATAACGAGACTACATTATTTCCCGCGCTGCTGCAACACTCATGAGTAATGTGGTTTCTTAGCACACGCTCGCATTTAAGCGATCCTGCACGTCAGTTTACTTTAGTTTAGACCACAAACCGTCACGATGACTCGGATTTTCTGGGATACAATTTTTCTCATAAGCGGTGAGTTTCTTGATTTTTGCAAAAAATATATAATTTTTGTGGGTCTCATTCTGAAACATCTGTATCCATGCTTTGGTTAATGATCACAGTTCGCCATTATTGCCCCCTGTTGAATTGTATTATTTGATATGAATTCACTTGACTGACTTGCAATGACAACCAGTACAATATTACTATCAAAAGTTTTTGATATACTCCATATGCATTTTGTTATTTGTTTTGATGTGCTTGATGGTGTTTTGTTTATCCTTTATGGTGTCACTGATTCTGTTTTTGTTTGTTTGTTAAAATAAAGCCAGAAAAAACTGTATTCTTCATAGTATGCCTAGTGAGTATAATACCAAATATATATTTAAACCAACCTGACATTTTGATGGATTTCTTTCTTATATATTTTTATGGCTTGACATTTTTTTTTTAATATTATTACATTTCTTATATCTTCTTTTTTACAACAAACCACAATTTCTGTGATCATCAGCTGGTTTCAGCCTGTAGTACTGTTGGCGTGTCTTCAGAGGACTCCCGTATAGAGCTTTTGTCTCATCCTTTTAGTGGATGCTTGACCCTGTTACTATTATTGGGTACAAGTTACTCAATGAAGCATCGATATTACAATGAAGACACAAACAGGGCGGACCACTGGGACTAATCCATATATCAGGATACGTGACACCTGGTTTTCCTTATGTTTGAAGTAAAGAAAGTAATATATATGTTTTATATTCCTATAGGTACTTTTACTTTTACTTCTGTGATACTCAATGGTGAGTTTACAGTGACCTTCTTTTTGGCATTTCTTTTTCTTTTTTGCTGTTAGTTCTATACATAACAGATGGTTATTTTCCTCTCTGCAGGTTCCTTCTTTACATTTGGAGCAGGACCGAGCAATTCCACAATAATTGAAGCCAGCATTTCTATCGATACAAACTCCACTGCTGCTCCGAACACCTCAACAAGCAGCTCTGCAACAACAACTCTCACTTCTATCGCCCCTGCTACAACTAACACGCCTCAAGTTGAAAGTAAGTCCCAGCACAGTCACGTCTTGCCAGAAAGCAATCCATTATGGTATAATTCATTTGAAAAATGTTTTGCATTCTGTTTTATATTTATGTCTGTTTGAATTTTTCCTATATGATATTCTATCATCATGGATGGTTGCTCTTGTATGTTTTTAAACTATAACATGTAATTTTAATATCTTGAACTTTCAATGCCCATTAAGGGACAGGTGTCGTACCTTTAGCAGGTACAACTGTCAATGTTTCTCTGTACTTGTGTCTTACAAATGAAATAATTCAAAATGTAATAGGTGAAGGTTCAAGCTCATGTTAAGCCAGCTCCTCAAAAATACTGTATTTCATATTTCTAAATGCTCTCAAGACCTTGTTCAGCTATCACTGCAGTATTCTTAATCGGGTGTCATATTTCTGCAGTTATTTGTTTTCATTTGTATATTTTCTCACATCGTGACCAAATGACATGTTAACAGCCTATTTTCCTCTCTGCAGATTCCCTCTTTACATTCGAAGCAGGACTGATTGATTCGATAAACATAGAAGCCAGCATTACCATCCATACAAATTCCACTGCTGCTCCAAACGACACAGCAAGCAGCTCTGCAACAACCAACAGCAGAAACACAACTACAACTATCACACGTGCTACAACAACTACCGTCCATCCAGTTAAAAGTAAGTCAAGATGCAGGGGAAGGTTTGGCTTATCGTCAAGCTGTCTCCAGCCAAATAAATCACTGTACTTCAGATACATCACATCCTCATTGCAGCCACTCTCACATCAGCTTTGCATCACAGCAGGGGTTGTCAACACTGTAAAGCTTCCCATTGAGCTGCAGTGTATCAACACATGCAGACTGAGTGGTGCTTGCTGATAATTGATCCTCTTAGCGTGAGTTAGGGCAGCAATTGTGGTAAATTTAAAGATAATGGGCAGAATATACAGTATGAGCTTTACATTTAGCATTTTCACAAAAGCTGCCTGTACTGTATTCCATTATGATTTTAAATACACACCCTAAAGGCTAGTTTACGTCACAAATTTCCTCTCGTTCGACTGCCAAAATCACATGTGAAGGGAGAGGGTTTGTTAGGCAGATGCCTCAGGGACAACAGAGGGCTTTCACAGAGTCTGAATGAAGGAGACAATAGTAGGCTGCAGTCCAAAAGCCCATTTACCGTTGGAATGGAGTGTGTGACGAAGGCTGTAATGCAGCTATCTGTCTGCATGCTCATCCTCCTTCCCACCCCTGAATGCAACACTGTGCATCTGTTTCTGTTGCTGAGGGAAACACTGACTTTTGTTGGACTCGGTTACGTAGGAATTTGTCTGACTGTACAGTTAACGTGGAAGTAATGTCCTGATTTTGATTGGGTGTGCATTTAATGTGATATTTTGCACTGTTGTTTTGTCAAAGTGAAAGCTGAGATAGTTGCAAAACCTAGAGAAAATAAATCTATTTTAAAGGCTTTAATTTCTGCATAAAGGAAAGTGCCTGCAGCAATGTGCTCTCTGCGGAGTCTCAATGTTGGTTGATGGATGGAGCTTTTTGTTTGCAGCGTCTCACTCACCAAGACTTTTCTTGACTCTAATTGTCCCTCCCAGGTACAGTGTGTGAGATGTAAGCCACAGCAAATCCACACGCAACTCGTAACAAAAGAGTTCAGTCTGCCGCTGGTGGCGTGGGTGTCAGCTTTAGGATTTAGTACATGCTGTACATGCTGCAGGCTTATGTTATTTTGAGACGTATGATATTCACCTGTGTCATGTTATGTACTTGGCGTATATTTGATATTGTAATTAAGAAAGAGTTCATGCGATAAATGACTTGATTCATGGTTCTCAAAGTGTTTCTTGTAGCTAACGACTTTA